AATACTCTGCAGACCATACCTCTGTGATAAGTCTCAACTGATGAACATAATCTTTTCCCGGAAATAGTGGTTGTCTCGTCATGATTTCACCAAGTATGCAAGCAACTGACCAGATATCAATTGCTGCAGTATACTCTGAACAATTTAGGAGCAATTCGGGAGCCCGATACCAACGAGTGACAACATACTCAGTCATGAAATCAGTCTCAGACGTTGTCCTTGCAAGTCCAAAATCTCCAATTTTCAAATCGCAATTTGCATTGAGAAGCAAATTGCTGGGTTTAAGATCACGGTGCAAGACGTTTGCAGAATGGACATATTTAAGTCCTCGCAGAATTTGATAAAGAAAGTACTGCATCATTAAAATGAATAATCACTTGACCTGTCCCAGTTTTACAACTCTACATGGAAACGGAACAATTTACTTGCCAACTGATAGACATAAAAGCTATGATGCATGGAAGTAAAATCGAGTTGGGTGCATAAGCAAATTGAAAATTTAAAAAACCTAGTCAAGAAGCACAGGGAAGTCACTTTAAAAACATGGTTTTTCTAACATTAAGTAAAGGTAAGAATTTAAGTGCTGTTGATGAATCTATAAAAACCAAAGAAAAATATAAAGAATATCTGGCTGGGCTTTTGTGCCTAAAGTAGGATTCAGTACAGGATAAAAACCAAATTCATATTAACATAGATTACGTACAAAAGTCTCCAAAAACTTACACACACAACGTCGTGTACTCAAAGAGTAAAAGGGACAAAATGTACAGTATTTGGCAAATCAAGCATAGTTATAACATTTATGATCATGGTTTCTCTCTTCCTCCAACAAAAGAGTAATGCAGAAGCACCTCCAATGTGTTTACAGATTTAAGATCATGCTTTTCAAGTGAACCATAAATATATTAAACACATGGTGTCGATGATCTGTTATGATAAAGTAAACAAGATCTTTGTGAGAAAATAAGGCCAAACCCGACAATGATCATCAGCTAATGGTTGATTGGATCGGATAATCTGATGAAGATCAGTGTCCATTAGTTCGTAAACAATGTAGACATCATTGAAGTTCTCCTTTTGTGGAGGCCGAATAATGTCTTTAATAGCAATTACCTGTTGAAATAAATAAATTAAAAAAAAAAAA